TAGACCCTGGGCATACTGCCTTGAGCTAATTTGTTTGGCTGAATTAATTATCATCAGGGGAGAATAGCCTCATTTCAAAGAAACCTTTTCTTTTGGAAGGAATGCCTTCTTATTCACTCAGTCCAATTTAAGTTCTTTGGCACCGGGTGTAAAGAGTGCCTTGACATTTCCATAAAGGCACTTAAATGTTACCATCTCTGAAGAAACAGTTTTAGAATATGAAACCTTTATCTTGTTTTCTTTTCCAAGAGAGCAAAACATCACCAGTTTAATTATCTCAGTAAAATAACTTCCTCATTTGTTAGTGGGAAAAGATAATGATGCTGTTTTCAAAAAAACAAAAACAATAATGAATGATTTCAGGAAATTTGCTTTTGATTTTTGTCTCTGTAAATAACACCTCAATTTAGAGGTCATAGATGCTTCTAGGATTATACATTCTCCTTCCAAGTTGATTTCTTTTTTTAAAGATAAGCTTGGAGAACAAAAGTGACTGAAAAGATGTTCTTTTTGTTTATTGCCCCACGTGGATGATAAAATGGTTCTTATGATTTGGAGAAGAAGCCAAAGGACACCTAACTCTTGTAGAAAGAGAAATCTTCTGTTGAATCTATATCAGGGGCATTGTGGATTGAATTGTGTCCCCCAAGCATGTGGGTCTTCTTAACTAGGCCATGGTTCCCAGTACTGTGTGGTTGTCCTCCATTTTGCTATCTGATGTATTTACCCTAGGTGTTGTAAATTCTCTGTGATGTTGGTGAGGCAGGATTAGAGGCAGTTATGCTAATGAGGTAGGACAGAATCTACAGGATTAAGTCATATCTTGAGTCAGTTTCTTTTGTGATATAAAAGAGAGAAGCAAGCAGAGAATAGAGGGACCTCCTGCCACCAAGAAAGAAGCACCAGGAGTAGAGCGTGCCCTTTGGACCCAGGGTCCCTGCATTGAGAAGCTCCTAGACTAGGGGAAGATTGATGACAAGGACCTTCCCCCAGAGCTGACAGAGAGAAAGCCATCTCCTAGAGCTGGCATCCTGAATTTGGACTTCCAGTAAACTGTGAGAGAATAAATTTTGCTTTGTTAAAGCCATCCACTTGTGGTATTTCTTTTATAGCAGCACTAGATGACTAAGACAAGGGGTCAGCAAACTTTTTCTGTAAAGTGTCAGATAGTAAATATTGTAGGCATTGCAGGCCATAAAGGTTTCCATTGCAACTACTCAATGCTGTCAGTATAGAGCGAAAGCAGTCATAGACAATACGTAAGTCATAGACTATAGTCATAGTCAAACACAGCTAGGCTGTGTTTCAATACAACTTTATTTACAAGAACGGTCAGTGGGATGGATTTGACCTATGGGCCATAGTTTGCTGACCCCTGACCTAGAGTAAGAACTTTTGGACCTTGCCTCTGTCCACATTTTGAGCTGGCTGGTTCTTTATGGTGGGAAGGCTGTCTTGTGCATGGTAGGGTGTTTAGCCTCATTCCTGGTCTCTGCCCACTAGATGTCAGTAACACCCTCGTCCCCACTTGTGATGGCCAAAAATGTCTCCAGACACTGCCAAATGTCCCCTGGAGGGCAAAATCACTGCCAGTTGGGAAGCACTGCTCTAAATGAGTGAAATAATTGGATGAAGAGGTAACAGAAAATATTTCTCCCAAATTACAAAAATTGTTATAGGTGCCATCCATGCTGTCCAGTCATTTCCGACTCATAGCAACCCTATGTACAACAGAACGAAACATTGCCCGGTCCTGGGCCATCCTCACAATTGTTGTTATGCTTGAGCCCATTGTTGCAGCCACTTTGACAATCCAACTCACTGAGGGTCTTCCTCTTTTTCACTGACCCTCTACTTTACCAAGCGTGATGTCCTTCTCCAGGGACTGATACCTCCTGATAACATGTCCAAAGTATGTGAGACATAGTCTCGTCGTCCTTGCTTCTAAGGAGCATTCTGGCTGTAATTCTTCCAAGACAGATTTGTTCATTCTTTTGGCAGTCCATGGTATATTCAGTATTCCTTGTCAACACCACACTGCAAAGGCATCAGTTCTTCTCCAGTCTTGCTTATTCATTGTCCAGCTTTCGCATGCATATGAGGTGACTGAAAACAAAATGGCTTGAGTCCAGCGCACCTTAATCTACAAGGCGATACCTTTACTTTTTAACACTTTAAATAGGCATTTTGCAGCAGATTTAATGCCTCATTTGATTTCTTGACTGCTGCTTCTATGGGTGTTGATTGTGAATTCAAGTAAAATGAAATCCTTGACAACTTCAGTATTTTCTCTGTTTATCATGATGTTGCTTATTCGTCCAAGTGGGAAGATTTTTGTTTTCTTTATGTTGAGGTGTAATCCATACTGAAGGCTGTGGTCTTTGAGCTTCATCAGTAAGTGCTTCAAGTCCTGTTCACTTTCAGCAAGCAAGGTTGTGTCATCTGCATGTCACAGGTTGGTAACGAGTCTTCCTCCAGTCCTGATGCCCTGTTCTCCTTCATATAGTCCAGCTTCTTGGATTATTTGCTCAGCATACAGACTGAATAAGTATAGTGAAAGGGTACAACCCTGACATACACCTTTCCTGACTTTAAACCACGCAGTAACCCCTTGTTCTGTTTGAACAACTGCCTCAATCTATGTACAGTTTCCTCATGAGCACAATTAAGTGTTCTGGAATTCCCATTCCTCACAATGTTAGCCATAATTTGTTGTGATCCACAGAGCCGAATGCCTTTGCATACTCAATAAAATACAGGTAAACATCTCTCTGGTATTCTCTGCTTTCAGCCAAGATCCATCTGACATCAGCAATGATATCCCTCATTCCAAGTCCTCTTCTGAATCTGGCTTGAATTTCTGGCAGTTCCCTGTCCATATACGGCCGCAGCCACTTCTGAATGATCTTCAGCAAAATTGTACTTGTGTGTGATATTAATGATATTGTTCGATAATTTCCACATACGGTTGGATCACCTTTCTTTGGAATAGGCATAAATATGAATCTCTTGCAGTTGATTGACCAGGTAGCTGTCTTGCAAATTTCTTGGCATGGACAAGTGAGCACTTCCAGCGCTGCATCGGTTTGTTGAAACATCTCAGTTGGTATTCCTTCAATTCCTGGAGCCTTGTTTTTCGCCAGTGCTTTCAGTGTAACTTGGACCTCTTCCTTCAGTACCATGGGTTCCTGATCATATGCTACCTCCTGAAATGGTTGAACATAAACCAAGTTTTTTTTTGGTGCAGTGACTCTGTGTATTCCTTCCATCTTCTTTTGATGCTTCCTGTGTCGTTTAATATTTTCCTTGTAGAGGAAAGATAAAAAATGAGAAAACCATGTCATCCTATTCATCTCAGCTAGGTTGAGATCTCCTCAAAGGGGCCATTATTGTTGTTAGGTGCTATCTGTTGATTCCGACTCATGGCGATCCCTTGTAACAGAGTAGAACTATCCTCTGAGGTTTTCTTGGCTGTAATCTTTATGGAAGTAGATCACCAGGTGTTTCTCCCACAGAGCTGCTGGGTAGGTTCCAACCACTGACCTTTTAGTTAGCAGCTGAGCACTTAAGCATTGCACCACCAGGGTACTAAAAGGAGTGTTATTACTGCCTAAATTTGGAAAGCAGTTCAAAAACCAACTGGAAAGGCAACATACTTGAAAAATGCTCTGTTAATAATGCAAATATGAGCTTAACCTACTTTTGGGATAGGTACAAGAGACAAAGTAGTTCAATACATTACAATGTGCTAATGGTACTTTCTGAGTTTGAGGGTTGGCTGTAGGCAGGGCAGACTGGAGAAAAGCTTGTAGCTCTAGTCTCCACTTGGGAAAAGATTTATTTTTTTCTGTTTATCTGAACTCAGAACTAACCCAGGCAGGGTGAGTTTTGAAAACACTCACATGTTTCTCATTGTTTGGACAGGGCCAGACAAAAATGGCCTGGTTTCACTGTGTATTGGCAGTAACATGTGTTTTTAAAAGTTAAAAACAGCTTAACATTCGTAAGTGAATTGCAAGGAATGTTGTCTTCTTGTTCTTTAGGAAAGCAAGAGGCGTCTCTGTTAAGAAATCATTGTTTTCTTTTTCCTAATTACTATTTTTATATCTTTAGTAATTCAGAAATATGTATATTCAAAATACTATCGTTTAGATAATCATATTTTAAAATAAACTGAAAAACCCTTTCATGGGGAATTTCAGTTAAGCCCTCTGAGCTGAGTTTCTTTTCTGGCTTGAAAAGCAACAGAAGTGCATTGATGCTATTCTTCTTTAATAAAATTACGTTTAAATATATATTTCTAATTGATGTGGAAGAAAAGTGTGGTCCACATTCTTGAAAGGAACTGTTAAGTCCCGTGCCATGTTCTCTACCATCATCACTGTCTTCTATGTCCTATGGCCACAGCAGACACGCTCAGTAACCCACCTGATCACCTGGTTACCGTTACCGCTAACCCCTTAATCCATTGCCTTCTGAGTCAATTTGACTCAAGTGACCCTATAGGACAGAGTAGAACTGTCCCATAGAGTTTCCAAGGCTATAATCTTTATGGAAGCAGACTGCCACGTCTTTCTCCCATGAAGCCACTGGTGGGTTCGAACTGCTGACCTTACAGTTAACAGTCAAGTGCTTTAACCACTGTGTCACCAGGGCCCTTACTTTCTTCTTAACCTTCCCCAAAATACACATTTCAATTATACTTCCCTGTCTGTCTGGGCCATACTTTCCAATTCATTGGACTAAGCGCTCTACTACTACCCAAATCTTGGCAGTTCAAACCCACCCAGGGGAGCCTTGGAAGACAGGCCTGGTAATCTGCTTCCAAAAGGTCACAACCTTGAAATCCCTACGGTTTTCTACTCTGCACCATGGGGTCACCATAGGTCGGAATCAACTCAGTGGCAACTAACAACAACAACAGCCTTCCTGGCAGGCCAGTCCAGTGCGAGTTTTGAAGGGGACGTATCTTACAGCAGGCCTTTCTCTCCGTTGCCCAGGTTACCACGGCCTCTACTGTGAGGAGGAGTATAATGAATGCCTCTCGGCCCCCTGTCTGAACGCTGCCCCCTGCAGGGACCTTGTGAACGGCTATGAGTGCATGTGCCTGCCGGATTACAAAGGTGAGTGAGGGCCACTCAGCCCCTTGTGTTAGAGTGGCTTTAGATGACATCATCCATTCCTCCATCTAAATGCGTCAGCCTCCCATTGGAGCATGACGTCGTTTAGAACAAAAAGCAAATGATGATGGTGGGATGATTTATGGGGTCGAATAGAGCAATTTGTAAGTCTCTGGTTTCCTCCTGATAAACTGAAAGAAAAAAAAAAATCTCTGCTGCCCTTTCCTTCTTCTATGGGACATTCTCTTCTCTGTGGAATGTGTACAAAGCTGACAGTAAAACATGATTCTTAAGTGGGCTGCCCGACATTGGTCAGAGGACGTGACTATGAAAATCATGGAAGAAGAAAGCATGCTGCTCGATGGTGCTTGTGATGCACAGATATGGTGCTGTGTTTTTTGATGGGGGGAGGATGCAGGTGGCCTCTCATGTACTGGCAAATGAATTAATCCCCATTAAGTGAGTCAGCTGGGAGGGGAATGTTAGCTCATTTGAGTGGACATGTATCAGTGTCACTCTGGAAAAATAGCCAGTGTTGATGGAGTGTTTATAATGGACCAGTCCTGCACTAAGCCCTTAGATGAGTTGACTCATTTAATCCTTGCAACATGCTTATGAGGCAGATGGTAATGCTATCCCTCATGGACCCTGCCAGTATAGTCCCCGAAGCCCTTTCACTCTGCTTCCCCATTAGACTCTACCATGATTTATGGACGGTGTGACCTCACTTTAAGCCCAGGCACTCTCAGACTGCCCTGTGCCAGGCTAGCCTGTTTATCAGCTGTCGAGCACATAGGGTTTTTCTTTTTTTCCATGTAATTAAATGAAGTTTACATTTCAAGTTAGTCTCCCATACAGAATTTTTTTTTTTTTTAACGTACATTGTTATGAGATCCCAACCGCTCACCCCATTCTGCAACAGCACACTCCTCCCCTCCGCCCCTGATTTCCCATGAACATTCAACCAGCTCCTAACTCTCTCTGCCTTCCCCTCTCACCTCTGGACAGAAGCCGTGTCGAGCACATTGTTGCTAAGCTGTAATTTCAGGGCTAGGTTTAGATTTTTTTCTAATGCTTTTGTGGGCTCCATTTATAGCCATTTCACTTCACCCTCTGGCTCCCATCACTGCTTACGTGTCCTGATACCATCCATTCTCGAGACACGTCCCATTTGCCTGATGACCTTGTGTTACAAGCACCGTTAACTTCTCTTTGAATAATCCGTTTATTTAGGGATTTGTTGGCGAGCCTCAAGGGTTTGTTGGCCATACTGATGGATTTGCTCAGGCCCCTGGAGGGAAGGGCTGAGGTCGGGCCAAGTCTCTGCTTTATGGTCAGCAGATCTGATGCATCTCTCGAGCGTGATGCCCATTTACAGCCAGACTCTCCCAACTTCTAGAAGGGCGTATGTGCTGGCTTCATCCACGTGGCTTTCCAGTTGTAAGTCTATCAGAGCATTGAGAAAAAGGGGGACAGCTAAATTCTGGAAAGAATCACAAGGAGCAACGACCCAGGAGACCTAGGTCACGCATCCTAATTGTACCAGTAGCTTCCTATTGAGCCTGACTAAATCTCTTAAACTGGCTGGTCTTCATTTTCTCTGGGTAGAAAGTAAGAAAGTCATGTTTACAGAGATTTTGAGATTCTTCAGTGACAGAATTAATACACCTACTCCTTACTTATCAACTATCTCAATATCCAACATTTTGCATGTATGACAATAGTAAAAAATCTAGTATCCAACTATTTTGCACATTAATGATGTACATCTGGCAGTAACTCTTTCATGACCAGTGGGACATATAGCACCCACCTACATTTTCCACCTCTTGGGTCCAGAGGGATATATATGTCCCACATAATATTTTGTGATCTGATGTGGTCATTCTCCATTTTTGCATAATGCTGATTTTTGCATAGCAACCTGGTATTTGGAACCTAACCACTAACCATGTCTATAAATGAGAACTGGGTGTACTGGCGAATGTGCTCAAACATCAAAAATTCCAAGATTGTTTAGTTTATGATATAATTTTATGAAGTAAATTTCATATTTATAAATGAAAAAATCATTAATCAGGCCTATTCTGAATATGTCCCTTACTTTTCTGTCTTTGAACCTTTGCTCACACTATCATGACTAAGAAATAAAAAATACAATTACGTGTGATGACCCACTCTTGTCTCTACAAATTCATAGACTGAATTCAAAGGTCCTAGTCTTTGTCACCTCCTTCTTCCATTTTTGTCAATGGATATTCCAGAATTTTTGCACCTTCCCCAAGCCTCATACTGAACCACTCACCTTTTGACCATAACTGACTTCACCTCCCAATTTCATGAGAAAAAAGAGAGGTTAACATTTGTGAGCATATTCAAATTAATCTAATTTTCCATATCCTATGGAAATGGTTCTCAAACTTGAGAGTTCTTCAGAATCTGCTGGTAGATTTGTTGAGTTATAGATGGCTGGGCCCCATGGTAGACTTTCTGATTCAGTAGGTCTGGGGTGAGGCCCAACAGTTTGAATTTCTGGTACTTTTTCAGGTGATGGTAATGTGCTGGCCAATGAACCAGACTTTGAGACCCCTGCCCTACAAGCTTATCTGCAACAACAACCACTAAAACTTTACTCTCTTTCATATTAGCTGGTGATGTTCTCCTCATCCTGCTAAAAGTTGATCCTTCCGTGCATGCTCTAAATTGCACCCCTTCTATCCTTCTGAGGGAGTCCTGGGTGGTGTAAATGGTTAACGCGCTTAGCTGCTGACTAAAAGGCTGGAGGTTCCAGTCCACCCAGAGGTGCCTTAGAAGAAAGGCTTGGTGATCTACTTCCAAAAAATCAGCCATTGGAAACCCTATGGAGCACAGATCTACTCTATCACACATGGGGTCGCCAAGAGTTGGAATCTTGACAGCAACTGTTTTTTTTTTTTTTTTTATCTTTTTGATACATTACTCCACCAATTACCTTCCTCTCTGCCCGTCTTCCACCGCTTACTCTCTCTCCTTACTTCTTTCCTTCACCCTGTAAATATGCTCATATACTCTTACTCTAAGAAAATGAAGATTCTAGGGAGATGGAAGCTCAAGTCTACATTCAAGATCCCTGATCCCTCCTGACTCTCTGCTGGGGTGACTCAGGAAGGTTGATGACCTTGGAAGGCATCTCAAATACATCTGCGGCTTTGGGTTCTCAAGCAAAGGGTACAGGTTCCATGAACCTTTGTTTACAACAGAGACAGAGGATGGAGGTTTAGGGAAGAACTGAGGAATCAATGGCCAGCTGAGCCCAAAGGACCAATCAGTTTCTGGCTAGGAAGTACATGCTGTGAGTGTGCTGCATGTGATCCTGTGAGGCAGAGGGGTCTACTGATCTCATGAATACTGGCTGCTTTGAAGGGAATCGAGCTTGAGCTGGTCTTTGCTCTTGTGTGTGGCTGGGAGAGGATGGACTGTCTTGCTCATACCTGGAGAATTTGAAAACCCCAAACAGGGAGACTTCTATTCCATGCCTTAGTAAACAAGTCCCAGTTGGCTGGCTTATCCAGAACTGGAGAAGAATCTCCAGTGTTCTCTGCCTCGACCTGAGATTGCCATCCTCCAGCCTGGCCAGTACAGGGAGCTCATACCATCAACTCAAAAAGGGAAAATAAAATTTAGGAAAAAAAAATGAAATTACAACGATAACCAACAACTCTAAAAATCCAAGAGAGGAAGTGGAAAAAAGTAATGTACACTACACAGAATTGAATTTGATCTGGAAAATCAAAAGGGGATAGAGTAAGGAATAAGAGGAAATAAATGGACACTCTGAGTGAAAAGATGGGAAATGTGGCAAACAGAGCAAATGACCAATTTCTGTCTGAAGGGTGGTGCTCCAGAAGAAGGAGCACGTGGAATAAAACAAGAAGCAACTAATTACCAGGATAAGTTTGAGAGCTGAAGAAAGACTTAAGTTTTCAAATGGAATGGGCTCAAGGAGTGTCAGAGGATTAATGAAGGATATGATACACAACTTGAGATTTCCTGGTAAAATTTCCAAATCTAAGAATAGAGAAAATTTTATTTTCAGTGTCCTTCACAGAGAGTAAAGGTTATGTATCAAAGAAAGAAAATCAGCCTAGCATTGTTCTGCTCGTCTACTATGTTGTTGTTATTAGGTGCTGTCGAGTAGGTTCCGACTCATAGCGACCCTGTGTACAAAAGAACGAAACACTGCATGGTCCTGCACCATGCTCACAATCGTTGTTATGCTTCAATGCATTGTTGCAGCCACTCTGTCAATCCATCTCCTTGAGGATCTTCCTCTTTTTTGCTGACCTTCTACTTTACCAAGCATGATGTCCTTCTCTAGGGACTGATCCGTCCTGATAACATGTCCAAAGTATGTGAGACAAAGTCTCACCATCCTTGCTTCTAAGGAGTATTCTGGCTGTACTTCTTCCAAGACAGATTTGTTCATTCTTTTGACAGGCCATGTTATAATCAGTATTCTTCACCAACACCATAATTCAAAGGTGTCAATTCTTCTTCAGTTTGCCTTATTTATTGCCCAGCTTTCACGTGCATATGAGGTGACTTAAAACACAAATGGGTGCTAAACAATAGTGGAACAGTGTTTCAGTCTTTTAAGCAAAAAGAACTGTGATTTAAGGGATCATTTATATTTGAGGATAAAAAGAAATTTCTGTACATTTAAGGATGCAGAAAACATACCACCGTATGTACCCTCTCTAATAAAATTATTTTGAAAAGTATTTCCTCCACCAAATAGGAACTAAGAACAAAGATATCCAGATAGCGGGGCATGGGGAACAGGAGGAAGGGTGTCGAGTAGACTTCTTCAAATGCAGAGTTAAACCTAAATGGATGTTGTTAATGTGATTGTGATTAGTAATTTAATGGTGAAGAAAGATCTCTTGAAAAGAAGTAGGCATATTTACTATGTTAGTTATCTATTAATATGTAACAAATTAACAAAAACTTAGTGGCTTACAACA